GAGGGGTGGCAGTGAAGGAGGAGCAGGTTAGAGGTTGCTGAGGTCCATGTCCCTGGTGCAGAGAGAGCAGCAGGCCGGGGATGGGGTTGTGGGGTGCACTGGAGACCGGGCAGCCTGGCAGGGAGAGGAGGATGCTGTGGCCCGGGGTACAGGAAGATGCGGCTGGGCTCCGTGGGGATGTTGCAGGGATGCTTTGCCCTCCTCCCTGAGGTGAGCCCTGTTCTGTGTCTAGGGCCTCAGCAGTACCTTTCTAGCTTCTGTTCTGGCAACAAGGCTGCTGTTTTGTTTAGGGACACAAGGAACTTCATAGTATTTTTGAGAAAGGTGAGATGGTGTGAACAGCATCCATCACAGATCAGTTTTTCTTCTCATGTGTTCACCATGAACTTTGACAGTTTGCACCTACTAACACATGCTATGTTTAATGTCTTCAGTCTGAAAGATTATTTGGTACCATTGCAGTCTGTAAATAGAGTGTGAGAATTAAACATCCCTTAAACATGGAGGCATGAGAACATTAAGGCAGGTTTCTTTAGTTCTTTCAGGACTTTTTGAACTAAAGAAGTGGGTTAAGTCTCCTGTCATTTAATTCTATTCAAACAGGAAGCGGGCAACAGTCAGTAACAGGAGTTGAAGCTTCAGATGATGCTAACAGTTACTGGCGGATTCGTGGGAAGATTGATGGCAGTTGCCAGCGTGGAACACCAGTGAAATGTGGGCAAGCTATACGACTTACCCATGTTAACACAGGAAAAAATTTACACACTCATCACTTCCCATCACCACTCTCCAATAATCAAGTGAGTTGTTTTAAATCTCAAGCTTTTGTGTAAATAGTACATGCTGTTGACAGTATTCTCTCCAGTTTTTCATGGTTTTGAAAAACCAGGCTTGGGTACCAGCTGTCAAAAACAGTATGTCTACGCATATCCAGTGTTCAAGTATATGCTTTTCTGCATCTTGGAATAATGTATTTAAGCTCCTGACAGAGGTAAAATTTAATATGTACCAGTGTTGGTATTTGACAGTATTTTTAACAAATCTGCGTTTTTTAATTTTTTTTTTATTCTGCACCAGTGCTACTGGAAAGACTGTTCTGAAATGTTTAGCACTTTCAAGGCATAGGAGACTGAGCACCTTCCTCAACACTGTGAAGATTGCTCTAGAGCAAGGCAACTAATCATGTTTTGTAGCGCTAGACCTTTCTATATCCAACTTCCTTGGTGATCCAGTCTATTAGTCTCAGTCATCGTCTTGCTACCCTTATTTTAGTTCAGTATTCTTATTTATCTGTCCTCCTTCCACACGAAAAATTAATCTGCTCTCACAATCTTATTTATTTATCATTTTGTACACATCTAGAAGAGTGTAATTCTTAACTGTAATTAGGTCCCAGTCTTGTCCTTGAAGAAATGCTTCGCCAAGATTGAAAATCTCTCTTAAAATAAATAACGCAACCTTGTTGGAAGTTTGTCATTAGTAGTCATTTTAGTCTTCCTTTAGGCTGTGTAGATGCATCATTACATTCAAAGTTGGAAGACCTGACTCTGTGAAAAAGGTTTATCTTTTACCATGAGTAAAGGGGCTGAAACAATAAGGTCCAGTTTTGTGTAGGGTATCTAGATGATCTGGTTATTAAAACAAAAGAAGTGATGGAAAAATAGCATTTCAGAATAATTGTTTAAAGAACAAATTCACTCAAAAACCTTCCCCCAGTTTTCATTTATCAGTTTAGACAATTTGTACAACATTGTCATTAACATAAAAATGTTCAGCGGCTGTCATTGTGTTTCTTTGGTTTTGCTATGTGTTTGCACAGTATCTAAGCGAAAGGAAAATTTGTGTGACTTCCCAGAGGTTGACAGGACTGTGACTTATGACATTATTGAAATATGATGTAGTTATGAACATAAACTTTTATTTCATATTCCTCACAGAAGTTGGATTTTCAAGGAGTATGTTGTCTTTCACACTTTTTTGGACTACATAAACTTGAATTAATGTGACCCTAAAGTTTTAGGTTGCTTGGTACAGACTCTTGCAGCTCTATTTTCAAGTTGCTCATCACTTCTATTTACCAGATTTTTAAGAATTAAAAGCTATCTGGAGTCTTAACAGTTGGAGCTTAGCCTATCCGGCTTCTGTAAACGTTTGGAATTTTTTTGGTGCATAATGAAATCTAATCTCTAACTTTTGTTTTAGCAGGAATTAATTTGCTTTAATGGTCATCTTTATGTTTTTAAAGAGCTATTCAGCTATCTATCTGAAGAAAGCGGAATAGTTGTTGACCCAATTTTAAGCTTGGCATGATTAAATAAAAAAATAAATATGATTACTTAAAAGCTGAATTGTTGGGACATTGTGACAAAAACGCTGAAAAAACCTGTAGCGGTGGTAACTATGAAGATGGTCATACTACAAAACTAAATGTCTGCAGTTACAAACTTTTTTGAGCGGGGAAGATTTGCATCAGCATTAGTGTTGTTTCTCCTGATTTTTTTTCTCAGAAGGATTGTTCTGATCTCTGTGCTCAAGTCCTCTTTTATTTCATTTGTAATGTATGTTGGGGTTTGTTGGCACTTTTTGGTCAGATTACATGTTGGAGTTGCTTGGCACTTTGTGTTCAGATTGTGGTGGTAGAAAGTTACTGCTTCTGGATTTGATAACTGTTGACAAAGCAATGCAACAACGCTGCTTCTTTTCTTCCCATCCTTGCCTTTAAACGCTGCTGACTTTGTGGTTGATATTTTTGCGTGTGTATTGTAGGTATTTGCTTACGTTTTCACTTCAGGAAGTTTGTGTCTCTAACAGGAAGTAAGTGCCTTTGGTGATGATGGCGAAGGAGATGACCTCGATATATGGATTGTGCAATGCAGTGGGACTTACTGGGAGCGGGAGGATGCAGTGCGCTTCAAGCACGTAGGAACTGAGGTGTTCCTTTCAATAACAGGGGAACAGTATGGCCATCCCATTAGAGGCCAACGGGAAGTTCATGGCATGCCTACTGCTAATCATCACAACTATTGGAAAGCAATGGAAGGAGTCTTCATCAAACCCAGTGTGGACCCTGCAAAACATGATGAGCTCTGAATTGACAGAGGATCTAAAATGCTTCAGCTTACTCCAGTGTTCGGAGATGCTAATCCTTGGTCTCTTATAAGTCCCGCCTTGCCTAAGTGACTGACTTTCTGTATTACTGAAGGGCATTAGTTCATTCTAGGAATGCAGCACTTCTGTGGGGAATGGCATCTGCCAGGTTCAGCAATTGAAATTTATTTGGCGAAATCCTTTCTGAATTTTCAAGCTTAATTGATGAAACTAGTTCATACATCTGTTAGGTTTTGTTGTCATTTGTTTTGCTTGTTACTTTTTCTCGAATTTGAAGGAAATGGAAAATACATTTCTGTAGTCCCAAGTATAATAAAACATTACATTTTGTAATCTTTTTCCAATTATAATTAAATATTTGGAACCTGATTTCTACTTCTTAGTGAGAGAATGTTATTAGTGAAGAGATGGAGTAAGTCAAGAAAGGGAAAAATAGTTCTCAGTTTCATTGTGTACTGTATTGGAAGAGTTGAAAATACTGTGTATGTTGGAGTAAGAAGACAAAGTTTTAATTTATTCACTTTCTCCAAGAAGTTCAGGTTTTCTGGTAATGGTGATACTGCTAATTGTCAAATGGTAAGACTGCTCTATGACTGGTGCAGAAAGCTACTGTTTGTTTAATTATTACTAGAATTTTATAAAATTCCATGTGGTGCGAAGGAACAGTTGAATTTGACTTATGTTGTACTTGCATGTCAATATGCAAGATCAGTATGAGAATCCAGATGAATAAATAGTGGGGCACATATACCCACGTGGGGGGTTTTGTGTGAATCCAGAAGAGAAAAAAAGAAATCTTAGACAATGGTTTGGTCCTGGATTTTTGACAGAATGGTGTGCTCTGGAGTGCTAGCAAGGAATCTTCACTGAACAGGTTATGAATTTCCATGTTCCTCTCCCTCTGTGAAAAGAGAAAAAAAATAATTCTTGAATGTGTTTGTTACATGTTGTTACTGGAAATAGTGATTAAAATCCAAAGTACCACAAATTTTCTATTTACTTTAAACAGAAAAGCTCACAAAATGAGTGTAAAAAGCCAGAAAATTCAGGTGTTCTTGCCTCCATGTGTAACTAGTTTACTGATTATGGTCTTAATTGGTCAATCAGTTAAAGAAGCAGGAAATTGATCTACTGCTTTTACAGCTCCAGTCATGTGCTGTAGTGTTGCTGAGAGAGTGTTGTGCTGAGAAGGTGCAACAGGCAATTGTAGTTAAGCTTTATAAATATGCCTACTGATGTGTGCTTCATACTCTGTGATCCCTTACATGGCTGTGCTGTACAGGCTAGCTTCAGGTTTTATTTAAGGGTTTGCTACAAGTGAACATCCTTCATACCCTATGGAACAAGGAACCTCTGTAACAGTTGTTTTGCGTACCTGATTATTTTTCTTCGAAGAAAAAGGTAAGACTGTTTTTCTATGAATCTTAGTTGCATGTGGTATTTGAGGATTACGAGCATTTTGGAGAATACGTAGACTAGCTTTTGCTGTATTAGAAGTAAACTTTTATGTGATGAATGTTTTAGGTTCACTGATATTCCTGACTAATTGGTATTGAAGTCGTAGCTGGAAAGGATAGCTATTGAAAACCAAAACAAACTTTCTGCATAAACAAGCTGACTTTTCCTTTCCTTTATTAAAAAGAAGGGCTTTTCTTTTGAAGTTGGTATGTGAGTAAACGCAAAAAGAGTGGTAGCCTCTGGCAGGAGGAGGAAATAAATTTGGCAATGAGTTCTCTGTCACTAAGAGCTAAATGCTTTATGCCTAAACCATATGGGCTTAGTGTTCGTGCACCTGCGGAATGCTGAGTTGGCTGAGAAGGGGTAGAGCTGTGTGCCTCAACTCAGCCTGTGTGCCAGGTACTATCCCTACCCAATGTTTATCTCTGTCTGGATGTTTCTGTCCCCAGCAAAGGTATTTGTTGGTCTTATTTATCATGCTTGAGTGGGATCTCACTGGACCTTCTTCTTTCTGTTTAGGATTTGAGACAAATTGGTTTGGTGAGGCTGACTTTTAGTTCTTATTGCTTACTTTTTAATAGGATCTTAGTTTTGAAAACATTTGTACCTTCTGTTCCTAAAAAGCCAAGCTTACACACACACGTATCCATGCATGCTTTATTTAAAGGCATATTCAACAATATCCCTGTGAACTGAGTTTTCTTTGCTTCTGATACTGACCAACATGTAAAAAGTCACTTGGCCTTAATATTTCACTTGTGCATGTGTCACAATAGATTTGTTTTTTCAGTTCTTATGACTATAAAAGTTGTGCTGAAGGACTCTTAAATAAGGCCAGCTGAAGTACGTATTACTTTAGAAAGGTCTAATATAGTACTAAAATTGGTACTCATAGCGTTCTAAATGCAGACTACAAAAGTTGTAAGATAATGTAGGAAGTGCAAAAGCTTATAGCTGTGAAAAATGATGGCTTGTACAAGTGCTAATGTGCTTTCCTTTCTATCAAACTTCTAGATTTATAAGACTTGCATTAGTATCTGTTTAATGTCCTATTTTATGCCTTAAACTGAAGTACTGAGATTTCAGAATCTGATTCATGTGTGCTTATTTACTTTGGCTGCTTACAATTCCACTTTCAGTCCCCCCACAGCTGAGGACTAGTGACTTGGAGAAAACCAGGTTTTATATCATTGGGCTTTGTTGTTGTTGTTTGTTTTTCATGTGGCTTTTATCATCTGCCTGAAGATGCTGGGACTCTTGAAATACTGAGGGATGTAGCTATGAGAGTTGAGAACACTGTTTTGCTTCTTTCTTTCTCTTTGTTTTAAGGTGATAAACTAAATTTCATAATACCTCTTGTCAAAATTCTCTGTACTCTTCAAGGTTAAGTGAAAACAATTTATTTTGGCTTGTGATGCTAGCAGAAAATAATTCTCTCAAATAACTGACAAGTGCTTTCCAATTTCTTGCTTACTACTATTACAAGAACTCTTTGAAAAGGCAATGTTGTTACTCATCCTTTAATGAACTAGAAAGGCTTTTGAGAAAAGAGCTAGAAGGATCCTTATTTACAGTTGTTCTCAGTGGGAATAATTGCTAAAGACAATCTACCTACTTTAAGCTTTCTACCTTGAAAAATCTGTCAAACACTGCATTTTATCCATGTATGTATCTAGTTCAATGTAAAATGACAAAGGGTTCCTTAGACGTGTCCAGTTTTGGAGTGTGTCTACAAACATTTTTACTCTATTTCCTGAAGCTTTTTAAAGCTCTGTATAAATGCTCAGCATATGAACACTTGCCACACATTTTGACCTCTCAGTCAGTATGAATGAGAACTGGGTTTAGTTCTTCAAAAGCGCTAGAAGGGATGTACTGCTCATTGATTCTTCATTCTGAATGTTGAGGATAGAGATAAACCAATGTTTTAATATCGTTTATTACGTTTGGGAATACTATTTGGGTATATCTGTTCTTATTAAGTTAAATTAGCATAAACTTAAAAAAAAAAAAAAGAAAAAACACCGAAACATTACAATCAAAACAACCCCGTAACAGTGATGTTTACTGAGCAGTATTTTTAAGCCTGTTAGTTTTGCTGAATCTTCTTTCTCTTCTGCCTCTCTTGCCCAGCACTGAAGCGCTAGCTGTCACTGTAGATGTACCATGTTTCACAGCTGTACTAGACAGAGGCTGAACCTTAGCAATATCTCCTTCTGGAAGCAGCATCTTGCTAGGTGTCTGACCCCCTGGTTGGTACGCTCGCTGGCTTTTTGGTTAGGTTCCCTGCTGGCAGCTGGCTAAGAGCCCATGAGAGGTTTGTGATGCAGGGTGCCACGATGCTGCCTGCCCCTCTTTCCTGGTTTTGAGTTCTCATCTGTGCTTTTTTTGAAGAGAGAACTGCAGAATCAAACACATCTTCCTGTAATCCAGCTCTGGGCCACCATTCAAGTATCTTTCGTAATTAATTGCTTCATAACATGGCTGTTTCATTAGCTGCCTTTCAGGAACCTGTGTGTTTGGGCTTACAAGACCACACCGGTGGTTGTGTCATTAAGCTTTTTAAGGAAACAGTTTAAAAAAAAAAAAAAAAGAACTTCCTTCCTCCCTACCCAAAAAGGAAGAGGTAATTTTAATTTATTTTGGAGTGGAAGGGACACCCTCCTCCGGGAGAACTGTGGTGGGTAGCAGAGAAAAGCCTTGGAAACCCTCCCGAGACTGGAAGTGTCACGATGCAGCTTGCATGGCTCCCTCCCCAGCGCCACCCGCGGAGCGAGCCCGGCTGGGCGGCGTTTCCATACTCAGACCTAAGGAAGTGCTTTCTTCCTATAGTTTCCTTGATCCTATTTGGTGGGGTAGGAAGCACAGGGGATGTCTTGCTTTCTCAAGGAGGAATAAAATGTTCCACCTTATCACCCTGGAGTTGCATTGGAAACGCGAGGCAATTCAAACTTACCTTAGGGTATGTAGTGTTTATTATGTATGCAAGTCACAAACAGTAATAAACTTTAGGGTCCTAAGGTTATTTTAAATACTTAGAGGAATAAATATTTTATACTTTTCCCCCTCTATCCCACTGACATTCTAAGCAACTCAGTGCTCCCATGTTTCTAAATACTTTAGCAGCACCTTGAGTATTTCTACCTAATAACTCATTTTTACTCTGTGCAAAAGATGAAACGCCAGGGTTTCCTTAATCAAACTTGCAATAATTTCAGTGGTGTGTGGGAATTGATTGAGAAATGGTCAACCAATTCCTCTGAGGACGGAACTGAATTACTTTGGGTATATATGAGACAGGGAGGGAATATAGTGAGCACCTTGACAGTAGACTTCAGCAGTCACACAGTTCAATGCTTCTTTCTCTTCAAACTGCAGCAAATTAAATGGATTATAAAAACCTTTTGCCATACTTGGTATTGTACTAATTCTAAATTAGCATCAAGTTCACAGTGGAATCTTCCTATGACAGCTCTGATATTGATTCAAGCTGCTGTTTTGTGAGGGATTCGGCTGTCTTCAATCCTTTGGGAAAATGGTGTCCTGCTTCATTAGTGTTAGAAGCTGTATGACATCTCAAGGGTACCAAACCCTCATGAAACACATTACAAATTAATCGGAACGTGTGCGAGCTATAAAGCTGGCTAATTAGTTTCTACATGCTTTTTTAACTATAAAAATAATGTGCAGGTGCTGGCTTTGCATGGCTGGAGGACTGTCAAGCTTGGACTCAGATTAAGGCTCTTTTGCTTGAGCTTCGTGATGGTGGTGTGTTTATTCACCTAAGCTTCGTTTTCTGAGAGTACTGATTATAGTAGAGGTGTGTGCTGTGCTGGAAATGAAAATATCTGGGGTGAGGCTAGCGTAACTCAAACCACAGCCGACCACACAACAAAATAGGTGCCCGGTGGTGGTGTTTGTCTTCTGCTGATGCCTCCTCGGCCCCGCTGCAGGCTCGAAGGGTTGGGCTGATGGCAGAGCCTTCCCCCCCGCGTTTCAGGTGCCCCGCAGAGAGCCCTGCTCGCCAGGGTTTGTTTTCTGCTCGCTCGGATTCAGGTGACTACTCTGTCCTAGGAAACTGCCCTTTAGGACGATCTCTCTAAAAACTTGGGCGGGGGGGGCGGTGGTGTGTGTGTAGATGGGTGCAGGGCCGTTCTGAGGAAGAAGGGATGGGCGCGTCTCTCCCCGTATCCCCGTTTGGTAGCCCGGGGCCGGCCGCTAGTCAGCGCTGCTCCTCCGCTCGC